TCGACAGGAGTCGCGACTCCGACTGGGGCTGTCGGAATCCTAGGTGCCTTCGACTGGGGCTGTCGGAGCCCTAGGTTGTGCCTTCGACTGGAGTCGGGATTCCGACTGGGGCTGTCGGAACCCTAGTTGCCGTCGACTGGGGCTGTCGGAACCCTAGGTGGCTTCGCCGGAGGCTTGCAGGCTGGGGTGGTGATGCTGTGGCTGCCGGAACCCTAGTTGCCGTCGACTGGTTTTGTTTGTTTGAAGACAGATAAGAATAAGAGACATGATTACTAAAAGAATGCTGAGTACATGACCTTGTTAATTTTAGAAGAGAAAAAAGGTTAGGGTATGAGTGGTTAATCATACCCTTTTATATTAAATCATAAACATAAGCTAAGGCCTAAATAAAGGCCCATTACAGACTGAATAAGAATAAAATGGGAAATATCCTAACACTTCTAACAGACCTAACCCCCTTCCTATTAGCAATGGAAACATCAAGATCTAAAAAAGCAAGAATAAAATCACTAGAATCAGATTTACCTAGACTCCCAGTAGAGGTGGGTGACTCTGGACACTCATCTTGAGAAGAAATTGGCAGTAGAGGAAGAAAAGTAGTCTTGCATCCAGGTGACTTGCTGTCTGTCCTTATCCCTGATATAAACTTTGCTTGCTTCCTTTTCCTCAACAATTGCTGGCTCATCATCCTCTATTTGTTTAACAAGAGCAGGAATCTCTTCACACCAATGTTTTCAAACCCAGACCGAACTGGTTGAACCGGGCCTTGTTCCGGTTTGGTCTGCCCCCTAAACCTGGGGTGGGAGCAAAACCGGGAAAAATCGGTGACCCAGTGGTCGAACTGGGAAAACCGATGACCCAGGCCGGGTCAAGAGGGTCGGACCGGATTGTTTTTTTTTGATTTTTTATTTTTTTGATTTTCTTTCTTTCTTTTCTTTCTTTCTTTCTTATATATATATATATATATACCCGTGCCTAAAGGCACGGTGAAACTATTATTGAAATGAAAATGTAATTGGAATAATTTTAAGATTTTAAACAAACAATAAAATGTAAGTCTCACAACACAGAAACATATAATAAAAATTAGACGAAATACGCTAACCAATGCTTTGTAATAGAAAAAAATAAATAAATTAAGCACACCAGTTTGTGCTCCGCAATACAAAGAAAATGCCAAATAACAAATTAAGCACATCAACTAATATTCTACAATACAAAAAAAAAAGGACATATAACAAATTAAGCACGTCAATCAATACTCCTTTTTTTTTTTATCAATTATGACTTTATTAAATATTATTAATAAATACTACGCAACAATTTTTATTTTTATTTGATTATTTATATATATTTTTATTTATTTATAATTTATAGTTATATTTTTTTAATTATATAATATTAATTATGACGTCACGGTTCGACTGTTTTGACTCGACGGTTGAACCGGTGACCCGTCCACTCGGTCCCTTTTCCGGTTCGCTCACCGGTCCGGTTTTTAAAACATTGCTTCACACCAAAGCTCCCCCTGAAGAGATAATTGTGATACCGGGAGGGTCGGAAAATAAGGCTGAGACTCAATGAAAATGACATCTATGGAGACAAACTATTTGCGAGTGGGAGGATGATAACACTTATAACCCTTTTTTGTAGTAGAATAACCCAGAAAAACACACTTAAGAGACTTGGGATCCAATTAACCATAAGTGGGTGAATGATTATGGACAAAACAAACACAGCCAAAAGTCTTAGGAGAAATGGAGAACCCGAAAGGGGTAGACCTAAACGAAACTTGAAGAGTGTTTGTTTTTGAAGAACTTGGGTAAGAAGACGATTAATCAAATAAGTGGCAGTGAGAACTGCATCCCCTTAATAGGATCGAGGAACCCGCATCTCAAAGGATAGACAACGGGCGACACCAAAGAGATGGCAATTTTTGCGTTCTACAACACCATTTTGTTGAGGGGTATTAGTGCATGAACTCTGGTGAATAATGCCATGAGTGGCGAAGTAAGCGACAAGACCAACGTCAATATATTCCCCCCATTATCAGAACGTAGAATTTTGACAACCGCCCCAAACTGAGTACAAACCATTTTATGGAAGGTTTGAAACACAGAAAAGACTTTACTTTTATCTTTCATCAAATAGATCCAAGTGACCCAGGAATAATCATCGATGAAGGTAACAAACCATTTTTTACCGGTCAAAGACAAAAAACGGGATAGGCCCCAAACATCAAAATGAATTAAAGAAAATGAAACTAAGCTTTTATTAATAGGAGGAGCAAAAGAGGCTTTTTGTTGTTTTCCAAGTTGACAAGCCTCACAAGGAAAATCTGACACAGTATGTTTCTCAAAAACAGAAGGAAATAAATGCTTAAGAAATAAAAAAGAGGGACGTCCTAAGCGACGGTGCCACAGCCAAATATCTTCCTTGGTGGATGGTAACTGAATAGATGAATGAGCCAGCTTGTCCGTTTGATCCAAAATGTAGAAACCATGTTGCTCTCTACCACTGCCAATCCTCTTTTTCATGTCAAGGTCCTCAAAAAGACAATGATCAGGAAAAAAACATTACGGTACAATTTAAATCACGAGTAAGACGACTCAAAGATAAAAGATTTAACACTAAAATTGGGAACATGGAGGATAAAGGACAAAGGAATGTAAGAGGTGGCATGAATTAAACCTTTCCCTGACACAGACAAAATAGTACCATACGCACTTTTTCCTGACCTGAGGAGGGGTTATACTCTGAAAATAAATTAGAGGAGCTAGATAGATGGTCAGAAGCACCAGAATCAATAATCCATGGTTTAGTCGTATGAGAAAGCAACGCACATAAGGAGGAAGCCAAATTACCTGAATTGGCAAAGAAAACAGAGGGTGCACCTGTAGTAGAAGTGGAGGCTCGACGGTCTAGCTAGTGGCGAATAACAATCTCAAAATTCGAGGCAGATAACTCCGAAACATCAACAGTGAATGAGACAACTGGAGGTGAATATGGTGGCTCAACAGTGTCTGAAAAATGTGCCCAAGCATTGGCCTCACGGCCTTGAGACTAACCAGACCGACCCCCTCGAGTGCCTCGGCCACCAGAAGGAGTTCCATGCAGCTTTCAACAAGTCTCTCGTGTGTGGCGAGATCGACGACAGTAGTTACAATAAAGATTATCCTTCTCAGAGAAAGGATGAGACCTACGAGTCACACGGTCGCCATTGTAAGAGAGTGCAGAAACCAAAGCCGAGTGATCAGTAATAGCAGGAGAGAGCATCGCCGAATGGTGACTCTCCTCATTCTGCACAAAAGCAAAGGCTTCCTGGGGAGAAGGCAGCACATCCATGCCAAGAACTCTGCTCCAAACTAGATCATACTCCACATTTAGGCCTTCCAAAAACTTGAAAACCCATTCTTACGCCACAAACTTCCGGTAACCAGCAGAATCAGTGGGACAAACAGGTTTGTAATCTTGAAGGTGATCAAGCCGCTTCCACCCATTGCTAAGAAAGGTAAAATACTGGAAGATAGTTTGCTCACCTTGGACCGACCTTTCAATGGAGCAACGTAACTCGAAAGACTGTGAGAAGTTCCCCTTCTCGGAGTAAAGAGTAGCCACGACCTCCTCCCAAATATCCTGAGCAATGTCCATAGACAAATAGCCCTCTCTAATCTCCGGAACCATAAAATGGATCAACCAACCCATAATTAGAGAATTGGTGATCTCCCACTGGTCATAACGAGGGTCTGTGATACTGGGTGCCTGGATCCTCCCATCAACATATCCTATCTTCCTTCTACTCTTTAAGAAAATAGTCAAGACTCTGTGACCATGCTAATTCTGACCGTCGAATAGAGTGATGGTGATTTTAAGACCAGGGTTGAGGTTATCAATCATAACAGAAGGGATAATAGAACTCTCGCTCTGAGATGGCTGAGAGATATGAGATTCACTGGTCAAATCTGCCATGGAGACTCCACTAACTATGCCTCAAACACGATACCAATCACAAACCCAGAAGATGAGTGAAAGGAAAGACCCAACTTCTCCTATAAAAGCATAAAGAAGAAAGAAAAGAACCTTTTGTTTTGTTTTGTTTTTTAAAATTATTATGATTATTTTTTTTTACTGCATTTTTTTTAAAAAAAAAAATTGAAAATAGACCTCAACAAAAAACACACGACAAACGATCAGACCAAGGCCATTCGTGAGGCTCGTTGACCACACAGAGAGGACCGAAGGCCCTAGGCGACCAGCGAGGAGGCCACAATGGCCTTAGTTGAACCCCAGGAGCAAGCGACTGTCACCCAACAGCCTAGTCGACTAACCAGGAGACCACAATGGCCCTAGTCGAACACCCAGGAGCAAGCGACAGCCACCAAAGAGCCTAAGCGACCCACCAAGAGACCACGACGGCTCTCTACAAATAGAAGAGGGCTGCCAACTGTCCCAGGCAAGGATTGAGATGGCCTGGGCAGTCCTGCGGTGGAAGAGAAGTAGGTTTGTGATTGACTTTAGATTTGTGATTGACTTTAGGTATCTTCTAATGAGGCTCTGATACCATTTAAGTTTGAAAAAGAGAAAGCGTTAGGAAATGAGTTAGACTTCATTCCCTTTTATATTGATAATTGAGCAATTACAGGCATAGTCTAAGTAATAAAAAAAGGAATGAATAAGAATACAACAAATTATTTCCTATTCTAATATTTCCTATTCTAACAATTTCCTATTCCAACATATATGAATCAGAAAACAGTACTATAAACGTATGATTATATAAATCAGAAATTTAGACAAATACTCGCACCTAAGACTCGTGCCCAAGTCCATGTAACATAGAAGGAAAAAAAACAAAGAAACAAAAAAGAATGTGTTAGCTTGAATCCATAACAAAAGTACAAATTAAACTATGGTCATCATAGCTTGAATCAATGTGCCCCAACTAATTTAGCATAGAATTTTGAAATGCTTCACATCAAGAGCATGAAAAGAAAAATCACCAAAAAATCGAAAGCGCCTCAGACCAACAAGAATTCCTTCTTCAGCAATCTTGTTGAATGCAGCATCATAATTACTAGAACCAGTCACCCTATTATTACAGCTTGTGGCCTCTTCGGCAAACTTCACAATCAATACGTTCTCATCGCCTAATACCCTTTGTAGGTGAGTTCTGGTGCAGTTCAAATACGGTCCCTGAGGTATAAAGGCAATGGATGTCACAATTGAAATATTTAATAGAAAACACATCTGAGAATGTTCAATAAACACTAATTTTGTATGAGAAATTTCAAACAATAATCTACAAATACACCACACACTATGTTGCCAGCCATTATCAGAAAGTAACAAAAGTAATGCAAGTCTATCTTGTCAAAGGAAGAACAAGCAAGGATATACACACCAATCAAGTGGAACAGTCAGAGTGAAAGTGACTAAAGAGCTTTTTTTTTTTTAATGACAAATAAAGAGCACTTAAACTCAAGGTTTATGATAATAGGTAGAGGTGGGAATTTGCAATTTTTTTTAATGACAAATGAAGAGCACTTAAACTCAAGGTTTATGGTAGCAGGTACAGGTGGGAATTTTCTGACTAAACACAAATCTTATCTGTATCTGAGCTTCCTAGCATTTTAGTGCATACATTACGGAGGTGATCACTAAGGTGCCTACATAGCTTAGAGAAACAAGAAAAAACTCAATGAAAAATTCAAAAGTACGGCAAAAGAAGAACACACAACAATATAAGTAACAAAAAAAATCACAATAACAATGCAACTTAAATAGAATGAAGGGGCAAAGGGGAACATAAATCTCTATCTAAATTAAAAATGAAGCAAATGAACATAAATCTCTACTGAATTAACAATGAAGCAAACATACAAACCTTGAAAGTATAACTTCCATCTTGATAAACATGACAGTAATATAGATGTGTCTTTCCAGAATCCCAATCTAGATACTGTGAGACAAAAACATAAACAAAAGAGAGTTACTGCAAATCAGGATACAGACCAGGTGCTGCTCTAGTACAAAAGCTCATGATTTCCCTTTTGTGTATTTTGAGAATATATCAATCTATAATGTTCATACTATTGGAAAGCCAAATTTAAGTACATAACTTTGTCATTAAAAGGAACTAGATTTAAAAATACAACACAGTTAAACCATGGTGTGTGTGTGTGTGTTTTCTTTTTTCTCTGTTTTTGGTAAGTGAGAAATTTTTATTTTAGTACTTTTGTACAGAGAATGCTATTAATTTATGCAATATGATATTAAACCCATGCAATATGCTACTCAGTCAATGCACGGAAAATTTTCTTGCAATACCAAAAAAAATCTCAAGATAAAATAACATGATTGTATTTACTCTACAAAACTATAAACAACACTTATATTATGTGTCAACAAAAACGTTATCACTCTGGTTGCAATGATCACTATCAGTAATTGCAATTTGGCCAATATACAAACAAGGTTCCCTTAGAGCATCTCCAACTTGAATCAAAAATTTCATCAAATTTGAATTAAAATTTGATGAAAAGTTTGATTTGATACCGTTTACTCCAACGGTAAATTAGAATTTTTATCAGATTTTTTCATATGGCAGTTGTCCAGGAGAACGTCTGGAGGGATGTCCTAGAGGTTGTCCGGACATGAACGAAAAATTTGATCAAATTTTCTTTTGGGTGGACACCAAGGAGAATGTCCGGCCCAATGGTAATACTTTAAATTTGATGAGGATGAAATGCTCTCTTCATTTGATGAAATTTTTGGTTTTCCCCTCATTTGATATGGGTTTGATGCATCAAATTTAAATTTAAATTTGATGAAAAGTTTGAGTAAGGGTTGAAGACACTCTTATTGCTTTACAAATCAACCCAAAATCCTATAAGGGAAATAAAACCATTACTTACTAAATAGTAATATTAAAGAAAAAAATCTAGGAACATACTAAGCAGAATCAATGTAGAAATTATCAGCTCAATTAGTGGGAACACAATTATACTCATATTTTGAGCAGTAAATAGTATGATTTTTGACAATCCATGAGAATTTAATAGACCTCAACTTATTGAGAGAGAGAGAGAGAGAGAGTCTGTCTAATGGATTGAGAATTCTTGACTAAGTGTTTGCTGGACAAGATAAGGATATCTAGGTAGCTTATCAACTTAAAGGCATCAAATTGAGAAATAAAACCATCAGGTAAGTTATGTTTTTGAGAATACAAGATTAGGGAATGCGTAGGATATCATTCCCTATTTTTATTAATGAAGATTAATAATTACAATGAAGCCCTAAGGTATAAAATAATTACAAAATAATAACCCAAATAATTATATATTATTCTAACACTCCCCCTCAAGCTAGTGCAAAGATATTTCTCATGCCCAGCTTGCCTAAATGTCATGAAATGGCTTACTCCCAACTCCCTTGGTGAGGATGTTAGCAAGTTTTTTACCAGACTGCACAAAGGAAGTACATATTGTGCCACTAGTGAGTTTCCCCTTAATGAAGTAACGATCAATCTCAACATGCTTTGTCCTGTCATGTTGAACCAGATCGTGAGCGATGTTGATAACGGCCTCATTATCACAGTATAACCGCATGGAGTCCGTCTGATCAATACCTAAATCACTCAACAATAACTTGATCCATAAGAGCTCGCACACCCCTTGTGCCATAGCTCTAAACTCAGCTTTTGCACTTGACTTGACAACCACATTCCATTTCATACTCCGCCAAGTAACTAAGTTGCCTCCAACAAAGGTGCAATGCCCTGAAGTCAATCTCCTGTTAGTCACCGATCCAGCCCAGTCAGTATCCGTATAAGCTTCCACACAAAGATGATCATACCTTGAAAAATAAAGACCCTTACCAGGAGTAGACTTCAAGTACCTCAAAATTCTTATGACAACCTCGAAGTGAATCTAATGAGGAGCATTGCATAAATGAGCTAACCACACTGACAGCAACAGCAACAACAACAACAACAACAACAACATCAAGACGAGAGTGAGATAGGTAAATGAGTTTGCCCACTAATCGCTGATAGTTTCCCCTGTCAACAGCCGCTCCTCCTTCATCATCCTCCAGTTTCTGATTGGGTTCCAGTGAAATGTCACAGGCCTTGCAGCCAAGCATCCCAGTTTCCTTTAGCAAGAGCATCCTGAAAATGGTTAAGAATGCTAACAGAAGAAATATTGGACACAAACGCTCTATATAAGGACGACAAATGAGAGCAGGACACAAAATTTAAGATAGGATGTTGAGTACAAGACCTCACACCCTTTCTCTTGGCAATAGGAGCATCAAGATCACTGGACTCAAGAGATTCAAAATTACCTGGACTCTCATCAGAAGCAAGAGATGGCAGTAGAAGAGCAGAAGTGGTCTCTTATATCTAGTTAGCTTTCTGTCTGTCTTTGTCCCTAACATAAACTTGCCCTTCCCTATCCTGGGAGACATTGGGTGCTGCAATCCCAGTAGGAGGTGGTGGTGCAAGAACTAGTTCCACTATAGGAATCACAGGAATTACTTCACACCAAGGCCCCCCCTGAAGGGAGGACTGTGACATCGGAGAAGACAAGAAATAAGACTGGGACTCAAAGAATGTGACATCCATGGACACAAACCACTTACGAGGAGGAGGGTGGTAACCCTTATACCCTTATTGAGTAGGCGAGTACCCAAGGAAAACATATTTGAAGGAGCGAAGGCCCAGCTTACCACGAGTATAAGAGTGATTATGGACAAAACAGACATAACCAAATATTTTAGGAGGAATAGAAAACAAAGATTGGGAACTTAAGAAAACTTAAACAAGAGCTTGTTTGTGCAAGACTTGGGTAGGAAGACAATTAATAAGATGGGCAGTGGTGAGAACAGCGTCGCCCCAGTTTGACCAAGGCACACTCATAGAAAAACACATGCACCGAGCCATGTCAAGAAAATGGCGATTCTTGCGTTCCACCACCTTATTTTGTTGAGGGGTATTGGTGCAAGAGGTTTGATGGATAATGCTATGAGTAGAAAAATATTGCTCTAACCCAGAGTTACCCCCATTATCAGAATGAAATATTTTGACAGTGGCCCCAAACTGAGTACAAATCATCTTATGAAAATTGCAGAAGATAGAGAAAACCTTACTCTTGTCTTTCATGAGATACACCCAAGTAGTATGAGAAAAATCATCAATAAATGTAACAAACCAGCGATGATCTTTTACAAACACAACACGAGATGAACCCCAGACATCAGAATGTATTAATAAGAAATGAACTAAACTTTTATTAAAATTGGAAGCAAAAGAAGCTCTGTGTTGTTTTCTAAGTTGGGAAAACTTACAAAGAAATTCAGACACATTTTTGTTTGAAAAAGCAAATGGAAATAAATGCTTAAGTAAATAAAAAAAAAGATGCCAAAGATGCCGATGCCACAGCCATATATCATTGGTGGTAGTAGGACGCATGGTGGAAGAATGAGCAAGTTTGTCCGGTTGATCCAAGAAGTAGAGACTATTTTTTGCACTACCACTACCAATCGTCCTCCTCGTGACAAGGTCCTAAAAAAGACAATGATTAGGGAAAAATGTCACATTACAATTCAAATCCTTTATAATACGACTCAAGGATAGCAGGTTTACAAAAAAATTGAGAACATGGAGAACAAAAGAGAGGTAAAGTAGGAGTGACATGGACTGAACATTTCTCAGAAATAGAAGAAACAATACCATCTACAATACTAATTTTGTCCTGACCAAAAGAGGGCTTATAGGCAGAGAAAATATAAGAGGAGCCAAACATATGATCTGAGGCACCAGAATCAATAATCCAGGGCAAAGACTTATGAGACAGGAAAACATAAGAAGAAGAGGCTAAGTTACCTGAGCGGGCAAACGACAAGGAAGATGTACGCACAGCAGTAAAAGAATGGCGGTCCAGCAATTGACGCAGAACATCCTCAAGCTCATGAGTAGTCATGCTAGAGAGACCATCAGAAGCCTAGCCAACAGAAGCAGAAGTAGAATCAAGTGTATTAACGACACTAGATTAGTGAGCCCAGGGATAGGAGTCACGTCCTCTAGGCTGGCCTTGTAAAACCCAAGTTGTGTGTAAGATTATTTTATTGGATAGATTAGTAATTAAATTAATTTATATGGGTCATTTATTAATATCAAAGAATTAGTTATAAGATGGCATTATATTTCCTATTACTTAGATGGATAATTTTGTAACTTTGAGAAATTAGGTTAATAAGCCCACCTATTGTGGCTTTAAGTCTTGGAAAACAAACAAAACAGAGGCTGGGAATTGCTCCATAGGCGGCTAGGGTTTGAGAAGGTAAAAGAAAAAAGAAAAGAAAAAGAGAAGAGAGGTTCAAGTGAGGCTACAATAGGGATTGGAGGCAGCACGTTGGTGATTTTGGGACACCCATTAGTTAAGGTAAAATCTGTCTTTACTGTTAATTATTAAGTTTATGTTGAGGAATTTAACAATCAATGCATTAAGGGGATTTGGAAGATCTATAGGTGCCTACTTAGGTTTAGAGAATTGGGTGCAATGTGTAAGTGTAACTTTGGGTGGGTAATAGAAACAATGGAGTTTTGTATCATGGGTAAGGGTGTGTTTGGCTATAAAGTTGGGTTGAATGGTTTAATCACTTGGATATTAAAGCAATACATTAATCTAATATGGTGGGGCTTTTGTGGGTGTATGTAACACGTAAAAATATTAATTTATTTGAGGTTTTATTTATTAGGTTTGTGTGATTGAAGTGGTGGAGCTGGGTGTTTGGAGTTGGTGTTGGAATATTATTTCTAAGCGTTTGGTGTAAGTAACCTTCTATCACTGTTGGTTCATTTTTATTCCTATTTGAATCGATTAAAATTATAAATATTTATTTACAGTTTTCATGTTCTCTTAAAATAAAATATGGGTCAAGTATAAAACAACATCGAAT